CTCTCTACACGTTTTTTCACTCGTTCACCCGCGCGATTATTTTGAATAGACAATAAAAACTCGCCCATAAAAAATGTAGAGGAAATAATTGCGGTTTTTTTGAGCTATAGAATTCCTAGAAATGTCAAAAACTGAAAGAGGAGATAAATTTTTTCAAAATTCTGAAATTATGGTTTTAGACCTGCAATTGTGATCGCGCCAAATTTTTTTCTGTAGATCAAAAATTAATTTGCAGTTCGGAATTGTTCTGTGGAAGAGCGTGCATGTGAATTTTTTTTTCGAAAATTTTGACTTCTTGATCACGGTTTGATCATTTTCCGTCAAAAAATAACTAAACCAACTGAATCTTTCATTCTCAGAGCGTTTATGTTGTATATGGAAAAATGCGTTTAAAAAATACCATGTAGGGGTACATGGAAATTTGTAAATGGAAACCACAATTACAAAACCCGTTCTGAAGTTTTTCAAACAGACGACAATCCTTGCTTTTCTGCCAGATTCACTATTATTCTCTACTAAAAACAATAACAAAGGCTAGAAAAATTTGTTGAAATGTAATAACTTCTTTTTATGCAGGGCTGTCCAAAAGGCCGGCCGAAGACCTCGCGCAATTTTGTGCGGCCGAGGCCGTCGCAAGTTCACTTTATTGAGAAAAAGCCTCGCGAGGCCTCGCAAATATGACTACGGTAAGCAAGTCGCATATTGTACGACAAGTTGCGTTTTTTTTTTAATTTTTTGTTTTTTCTCTCTCTTTTTCAGCAAATCGCGCATTTTTTGAAAGTTTTCTCAATTTTTCGATATTTAGAGCATTTAAAAAAAGGAGGAAGTCAAGAAATCTTTTATTCAACACTGAAATAACAGGGGAGAGAAAATGACAACAAATTCAAGAAATTTAACAAAAAAAGCTTGTGTTCATTCATCAAAATCTTCAAGTCTCGCCTGTGTCGAATCGATCTTTTTCTTTGAGAATCATCAACTTTTCCAGCATTTTTAAGTCCAGGCTCTGACGATTTGGTGTGTACAAGTTTTTTATGATTGAAAAAGATCTTTCTACATCTGCTTCCGAAGCTTGAATCGCATGAACTTTTCGGGCGATTTCGTGCAAAATTGGATAGGAGCTTTTTGCCAGAGGCCAAAATTTCAATGCAGGCATACTTCTGGTGTCTCTCTCGTATTGCTGCTGTTCTTGATGAAGCGAACTGCTTTTTGGGGCGCTTGATCCGCCCAGAGTACGTTGAAGGAAAGTGAGATGACGTGCAGGTGGTTTTCTGAAAAAGAACTAATTTTTTCAACAAAAAAAAAAAATTTCAACTAGCATAAAAACCGCCGAATCCTTCCCTTTTGTTCTTTATCACTAATTCACAATCGGTTTTGTTGGGATCAATGAACCATTGAGGCATCTGAATTGTGTCTGAAATGGAATAACGGTTATAACAAATGAATAAATAGGCTTAAACCGACCATCACTGGCGTTCGAAATGTTCATGTCGCCACATATCGATGGAAAAATCGAGAAAACTCTCAAAAAATGCGTGATTTGCTGAAAAAGAGCGAGAAAAAACAAAAAATTAAAAAAAAAAGCGCAACTTGTCGTAAAATAGGCGACTTGCTGACCGTAGTCACATTTGCGAGGCCGGCATCGGCCGGCCGAGGCCTCGCGAGGCTTTTTCTCAATGGAGCGCGCCGAGGCCTTTTTTCTTCGGCCGAGGCCCGGCCGCCGTTTTGGACAGCCCTGTTTTTATGAGATGAAGACGCTTTTTTTAATATAAAACGACACACTCCAATCTAACTCCCGTTGCATTTCAAATCATGAAATTCGCTCTCTGTATTCTGTCATCCTGGGATGTGCCAGTGGTCAGTTCGGTCCCGTCGGTATAAAACATATACTCCGGGCTCACAATGACTTGAGATCCGATATTGCTATGGGAATCTATGACGGTTATGGAGCTTTCAAGCAACCTAAACCCCCAGCAACCAATATGCGCAAGATGGTAAGGTTATCATACTCTAATGTTTGATACTTCTGAAATTTTTTTAAAAATGGAATTCTTCTCTTGCCACCTCTGCTCACGACTACGCCAACACCTGCCCAGAGTTCGGCTCCAAACCATTACGTGATGGCGAAAACATCTTCTTTGAATATAGTTCAATCGACACAGAAAGCATTGATTACTATGTGAGTGCCGACTAACTTGGGATTCTAAACTTGCCTAATTTTTCAGGGACCAAGATTCTCGCAAGTCTGGGAAGAGGAGTTTGAAATTTACGGATGAAATTCCACTACGATGGATGAAAACAACTTCAACTCTGGAATCAAAGAAGCTACTCAGATGGTCACGACTTGTTCAGATACGTTGTGGTGTGCCATTATAAAGAACCGTGAGTGACTTTTGTAGGAAAATATAAAATTAATAATTTCAGAGGAAACGTGAAGGGTTCTGAGATTTATAAGACAGGAGAGACTTGCTCTGCCTGCTCTGCTGGATCAACTTGCGATACTGCTACCGGATTGTGTGTTTACTGTTTGATAAAAATTTCAAGTAATAAATCATTCATAAATGCATTAAGGATTGCATTAATCCAAAGTTGAAACAATATTCCCACCAATCTGTAGAAATTTAAGTCCGATTATCAATCAATTCGTCAGTCACAAACTGAAATTTCACATCTTTTTTATATATCAGCTAGCTGGTGCGCATTTGGCGCAATTTAATCCAATGGTTCGTAGCTCCTCGACTATTTTTTAAGGGTCACGTAAATCTATACTGATTTTTCATGTCAATTTTTTCCAGGAAACACCATATGTAGATGAAGATCATTTTACCATAGCGCAAAATCAAACGCATAAAGTTTTGTTGTGAATTCTAAGGAAACAAAAAAATCGGATTGTTGGATTGAATTATCTAGATCCAATCGTTGAACGGAACGAGAAATGTCAAAGGAGAACATTTGGTTGAGAACCAGACAGTAGCAAAACAGGGGTAATTCGCAGAATTTATCCAAATCGAATTGGGCAAAAAACCCTCAGTCGGAGAGCTCCAGGGTCCGTTCATCTTCCACAAACTAGGTAATAAATTCAAAAAAGAGTCCACTCTACCTGTATTATTGATGAACCAGCAAGCTGGTGAGCCTTCAGCGCGATTTAATCTAGTTTGTTACTCCTCATTTTTCTCAAAGTGTCACGTCAATTTATATTTATTTTTCAACCTTTTCAAAAGATGACAGCCTGACATGGGGAACAACAGACGCGTGTAGCGTTATATATATAAGGAAGATTATCGCAACTTTAATACCTACAGATCAGTAGGAACCTTACGTTTTGGAACAACAAAAATTTCTAATGCATTGATAAAATATTTATTACTTGAAATAATTAGAAACAATATTAAGCGAGAAGTTACAGAATACACAACCCAGTGTTATTATCGCATCCAAAATTTTCAGGGCAGTTCGAGCAGGTCGTTCCTTCTTCATTAATGTTTGTATCCTTCTTGTTTCCTCTGAATTTTTCAATTTGTGATTTTCTTAATCTCGCACAAGAGTCACTCACGGCTCTTTATATTGGCACACAACTACATATTTGAACCGGTTGTCCTTTGGACACACACTCACTCCACACCCAATTAAATGTGTCTCAGCCCAAACCATCTGAGAAGCCTCTTTGATTCCAGAATTGAAGGCGTTATCATCCATCTTAGTGGAATTCCATCCTCTATTTTCGAACTCGCTTTTCCATATTTCCGATGCTCCATCTCCCTGAAAAATTACGTAGTTTGAAAATCCCAAGTCATTCGAAACTCACATAGTAATCAACACTGTCTTGCCCGTTTGAACTAGTTGCAAAGAAGACGTTCTCTCCATCTCGTGATGGTGCGGAGAGACGGTCTGGACAAGTGTTGGAGTAGTTTTGAGCAGAGGCGGCGAGAGAGTCGTCCCATTTCTAAGCGAAACGTCACTGGCAAAAATTCTAATTATATAATCTTACCAGTTTGCGCATGTTGGATGCTGATGGTTTATATGTCTCAAATGTTTCTTCACCGTCGTAGGCTCCCAAAGCAATTTGAGATCTCAACTCATTGTGAATATTGAGATCAGAGTGGGTCCTTTTATATGAAAAGGTTTGAACTTGTCTTATGGCAAAACATGTTTCATTGGTTGATTGTTTTCAGCTTCTCACCTTTATTATTCGTTTGTCGTCTTTGTTATTGTCACTTTTGACAAAGGAAATATTCGAAACATTTCGAAAATATAACTAATAGTGAGAGCCAAACATTCTTATCTCAATTTTGAATTACCCACATACACTATTACTTCTAAGCTTTCGGTTCTAGAAAAGGATTTTTATAGAGAAAGCTAAAATTTGAGAAAGTTCGAGACATTTCCCGGCAATACGATCTACTTCTTATTAAGGAAACTTTTCTGTGTGTGTGTGTGTGTGTGTGTGTGTGTGTGTGTGTGTGTGTGTGTGTGTGTGTGTGTGTGTGTGTGTGTGTGTGTGTGTGTGTGTGTGTGTGTGTGTGTGTGTGTGTGTGTGTGTGTGTGTGTGTGTGTGTGTCAGTCTCGGACATTTACTTGAATAACTCCAAAGGGCATGGGACTCCTATAGTGGTATGTAGTATGTAGTCATGGACTACCGAGCGCTTCATGTCCATGGTGTCCTGGGCCTTCTAGCTAATCGGGAACCTATAGGGTTGAGAATCGAAAATTTCAAAATTATGTTGAAACTCACTAAAACTTCAGGGAATTCTCAAAAACGGTTTTCAGGCCTATCTATGTGCTGCCCACAGAAAATTGAACTGAAAGCTTCGCAACAGAAATTTTTTGTAACATTTTTTTCGTGATTAACTCAAATTCTGTGACCTACTGTAAATTTGGTTGCCGTCTTTTTTTTCGACTGCAAAACATTCTAGAGAATTCCAGGACAGTTTAGAATACTCTCGAAGCTTTACATCATTCCAGAAAATTCTAGAAAATTCTAGAACATTCTAGAAAATTCCAGAACATTCTAGAAAATCCCAAAACATTCTAGAAAATTCCAAAACATTCTAGAAAATTCCAGAACTTTCTCGAAAATTTCAGAACTTTCTCGAAAATTCCAGAACTTTCTCGAAAATTTCAGAACTTTCTCGAAAATTCCAGAACATTCTAGAAAATTCCAGAACTTTCTCGAAAATTCCAGAACATTCTAGAAAATTCCAGAAAATTCTCGAAAATTCCAGAACATTCTAGAAAATTACAGAACTTTCTAGACATTTCTAGACAAACGAAAAATTCTGGAGTTGTTAAACTGGACAATAAAGTGTGGTCCCATACAACAAGTACCTCTCCAGAAAGTTCAGAAGTCATGCGAATTTGGAAATTTGTGGGAACGTCGGAGCAGTTAAATACCTTTACAAATATCTTTACAAAGGTACATCTCGAGCTGCTATCCGCATCTACACTGATAAAAATGGAGTCGAGCACAGGACGGAGAATGAGGTCAACAGCTACTTGGATGGTCGATACGGAAATGATGACATCGCGGTAGGGATATCCGGTTAGAAATTTGGCACCGAGCCTAATTTAGACGCGTCGCGTGTCGGCTTCCGATTTTTTCAAATTTCCGAGTTTTTCAAATACTCAGATTTTCCGAATTCCAGAAATTTTGAATTACCCACATACAGGGCTGCAATCTGACGGGCTGGCCGGCGGGCCGGCCCGAGGGAAAAAAACCAGGGCCCGGCCCGGCCCGGCCGGCCGGCAATTAATTAATATTTGAAAAAAAAAGAAAAAAATAGCCACGAAATTTCCACACTGGTTCGACTGATTCTCTCACTAATTGTAGTGATTTTTCTAGTTAATTTTATGTTACTTTTCTATCTTTTTGTTGGATTGGTTGATATGAGCTAATTTTCTCCCCCGGTTTCCATTTTTTTGTTTCCCCTTGTTCATTTATACGGTTTTTACATTGTTATGCTACTTGTTAAAGGTGGTGTATGGTGAAATTTTTTATTGCATCAAAATGTGCAGAAATGCATGTAGATTGACATAAAAATAAAGAAAAAATTCAAAAAAAATTCCTTCATCGAAAAAAACGCATCGAAAAATACGCTGAAAGCCCTTAGGGACGAGGTTTTTTCTAGGCCGCCCGGTGAGTAAAAGCGCGCGAATTCAAACTTTTAAAATTTTTTCGCTCGTTTTCACTTTTTTTTCAAATTTTCCGAGT